AGTTTGGCTTCTGGGTATCCAACCCATCCAACTTTCACCACTCCTCCTTTTTCCACCTGCCTTCATATCCTCCTCCACACCATGAATAGGAGCACTATGAACCCAATGCAAATCGCTCACTTATAACAATGAAAATGCATCTCTGGCTAAACACTTGGGTTAAAGAGCACCAGCTGGGGGTGTGCTGCTCAGCATTTGCTTCTGCTTAGTGAGGAGCTCCTTGTTTCTAAGAGACGTGAAATCTGCTGCAGCACACGGCCTATACTGGCAACACAGTGTAGATTTGTTTCGAAGAAAACACTGCTGATTTTTAAATAGCACTTTCAAATAGCACTATCATTGCACATCTAGGCTGCTTCCAGCATAACAGCAACGTTTCTGTAGTTCCCCAAAACAATTTCTGGAAGGAAAATGTTGCTGGATTTGGGACAACTGTGCAGAGAAGTGGATTATTTCTGCATATAATTCAAGGGTTGTATGTGGGATCTCTATGAGTTTGTCACTTCTGCACAGAAAACCACTACATGTAATTACAGCCCACAGACATTCTGGTGGGTACATTCAACCACCTTTTAAGTTACCAGAAGTGAACTGTAATACAGCTAAATGTGTGGTTAGGGATGCAGCAGTGACAACTCTACGCCTATTCTGAGAGAAAGCATCAAAATGAAAACTGCAAACAAAGCATGCTCTGTTCCCGAGTTTCAGAAGCATCATCTTTAAGCTTGCAGTCAAGTTGCCAAGGTTGAACAGATGAGAAATGAAATAGCTCTCAGATGAAGCTACCTATGGAAAGCATGAGCATTCTTAGTCTTCCACTACAACCCATCCATTCCCAGTCTGAAGGGGAAACGTTCTGCTGTCCAATAACACCAGACATCCATTTGCATTTGCTGATATGGCCAACATCCACACACCCCAAAATCCACTTTTTCAATGCAAGTCTTTCTGAAGACTTAGACCACACTTTATTGGTCCTTGAGGGGTTACAGCACTACAGTGCACATCGTTGTAACTGCAGATAAGTAAGAGCACAAGGACCTGAAGCCATTAAAAATTACCATGATTGCCTACAAAGATATCACACCGCTGCAGTAAAACATGAACATTTTATTTTGAGAAGAGCTCTGCTCACTTTCAGCTCTTCATGATCTCCATTGCAATGCCCACACACCTCCTGGCTCTTTCATGTCTTTAAAAAAAGGTCTAATACTATTTTGGCCACAAGGCAATCCAATTACAAGGTGAAAATGTTATGCAAGCTTATGTAAAGAAACAAAAAAAAAAGAGCTGCAGCTTATTCAAACAAGAAAAGCCATGAAAATAACAAGTGCCTGAAAAGCTATGAAACCAGTACTGCTCTGTTTCTTGCTCTTTGAGTTTCTGCTCGGTCCAGCACATGACAAACACCCAGGGCCATACTCTGGGCAGGTCCATTTCTGTGCCTCTAAAACCACATCTAAAAGCATATGTAACACTGATCTACGCTGTGTGTTCATCATCATTGCTTCTCACATCCAAGGCTGCCAGAGAAGCCAGAGCTCCTCACAGCCTCAAATAGAAACCACATCCATGCACCAGAACTGCTGCCTCCGCCGTGATATCATCTCTTGGGTAAAAAAACACAGTAGAGTTTGAAAGCCTTTAACACATCCACATTAAGAGCAATTTCTCCCAAGATTCTGTCTCAGTTCAGCTCCCCACCACAGCTACAAACACCTCTAAGCCCTGCAGGTTCCTTGCATCAGCTCTACAAACAGAGCAGAACGCTGCAGCACGTGCCAATAAACCCACGAGCAGATTGAGACGCAGCAGTGTGAGCGTCCCTCTGTTGAGGCACAGAGGCCAACGACCCATTTAAAAGAACAGTGTGATAAGCACAAAAATGTGTGTCCCTCTTTGCATTATCACCTGGCCACTCTTTTTTCCCTTCCAACCCACTCCTGCTCTGTTGATTTTGCACGATCCAACACCAAACACACGTGGCATCCCCAGCACTGCAGTATTCACGCGCTTTCTGCTCAGAACGGGATGATTCCTTTCAAGCAACCAGAGGATGAAGATCTCAGAGAGCTGACAGTCGGAAGGCATCTCGGTGCACCCACCATCAGCCTGCAGTGCCACCTGGGCAACCGAGGGAGGCTGCGGGTCGGAAGGGCCGCACAGCTCATCCATCACACACACGGCGGCATTTCGGTGCTCGGCTCCCCCACGTCATTCAACCTGGAGGCTCACCGCTGCTCCCCACAACCGCTCACAGCTCAGCTCCCAAGCAGGACGCGGTCCGGGCAGCGCCCACGGCCCCGCAGCGCCCCACGTGCGGAGGCCCCGCAGCCCAGCCCAGGCCCCGCGGCCCACACTGGCGGAGACCCCGGCAGCCCGGCCTCGCAACGGCGGTCCGCGGGCAGACCCCGGGCCGGGCCCCCTCACCTTTGACGTCCCCCGCCAGGGCTCGCCAGGTGGGGGCGAAGGCGATGCAGTGTCCGCAGGACGAGCTGTAGAACTGCACCACCCAGGCGGCCGAAGAGTTGAGCAGCGCTCGCCGCACCGTGCCGGCCGCCAACACGCTCAGCGGATCCTCCCCGGCCCGGTACAGCCGCGCCGCCACCCCCGCCGCCAGCAGCGCCAGCAAAACCAGCGGCCCGCCGCCGCCCGCCGCCATGTTGGGACGCCGGCCGCTCGGGGCGGGGCGGCGCGGCGCGGGGCGGCGCCATAACAACGGCCGGGCGCGGGGACGCGGCCTAGCGGAGAGCGCGGCTCTCAGCCCGCCTGCCTGCGGGCACCGGGGGAGGGGAGGCTTAGAGTGCCCGAAAGCGGGTTGTGGCTGGCGGTGCTCGCAACTGCTCCTTGTAATCACTCAAGGACCGAAGAGGAAAAGAAATTGATCCAAATCCTCGCGTTTCAGGCGCTCTGTTGCAATTTCAGGGGTTAAAATCTAGGCTAGGATCGTTACGGCAGGCTGGCTGCAGCAGTGTGATATCTTTGTAGGCAATCATGGTAATTTTTAATGGCTTCAAGTCCTTGTTCTCTTACTTATCTGCAGTTACAACGATGTGCACTGTACTGCTGTAACCCCTCAAGGACCAATAAAGTGTGGTCTAAGTCTTCAGAAAGACTTGCATTGAAAAAGTGGATTTTGGGGTGTGTGGATGTTGGCCATATCAGCAAATGCAAATGGATGTCTGGTGTTATTGGGCAGCAGAACGTTTCCCCTTCAGACTGGGAATGGATGGGTTGTAGTGGAAGACTAAGAATGCTCATGCTTTCCATAGGTAGCTTCATCTGAGAGCTATTTCATTTCTCATCTGTTCAACCTTGGCAACTTGACTGCAAGCTTAAAGATGATGCTTCTGAAACTCGGGAACAGAGCATGCTTTGTTTGCAGTTTTCGTTTTGATGCTTTCAGAATCGGATTGAAACGAGATGACCTTTGAGGTCCTTTCCAACCCAGGCCATTCTGTGGCTCTCTGACTGTGCAGGAATCCCACACACTGTGCAAATCATATGAGAACCAGCAGACTCTGCCACATTTCCCTATTTTTGCCCATTTCTCTGTTTTTTGCCATCACCATCTGAAGTTCAGTCACATCCTTCCATCCACGTGCACTGCCCTGAGTCATTTCTTTCCTTGCTCCACGCTCCATTGGAGCTTTTTGTCTCCAAGCAGTAACAGGAGGTGGTTACAGCAGTGCAATCCAATGATAGAAAAGGAAAACCTTCTTGCAGGTGCTAATTAGGATTTTAAAATCTTCAGGTATTTCAGAGCACATTTTGTTCAGAAGAACTGCTAAAAGTGCAAAGATGAAAGAGATGGATTACGGGAAAATTAAATGTGGGGTTTAACTGAGAAATAATCATTTTCTATGAAAGATAATGACTCCTCTTGAGGCTAGTATCGAGATTTATTGACCCGGGAGGTTAATATTGATCAAAACCAAGGCAAACAAAATATTAGACCTTGAAGTAGAGTCATCTTGATATTGAAGTCTTGCCACTGACTGAACAGGTCAATATATCTGGGTGCCAGAATCTAAGGCTTGGAACAGATAATGGCAGGGGATATTAAATATGTCTGACATGTTCTGTGTGTACACTTTTTATTCTCATCAGCAGTAGTTACTTTATGGCTATGTCCTTCTGTATATAGCTATCTTGCAAGGGCTCAGGCTTCACTCACAAACCTAATTGCAAACATAACGGTTATCTTTCTCCCGTGTAACACATAGCTGTCTGAAATTAAACAAGTTCTTCATCTATTCATTCACATATATAGATGATATTTTTTAATAGCTTTCATTCCCAACACACAACAAGTGATCCTGCTGCTGCTGCAAAACTATAGTGAAAATAAACTGGCAAGCTGTAGTGCTTCAATATATAGATTTGTCATTGTATCCAATAATTTGCCTGTGAGTCCAGGGGAAAAAAAAAAAGCCACCATTGAATTAAATTCTAATAATAAGCTGACAAGAAGAAAACACTAATCTTAGAACAAATAACTTATCTGGATTACTGGATTAATTAATCAATGAGGATAAGGGTCAGGAGGACGGGGGGGCTGGGGAAATTCTCACCCAGGAAGGAAGAGCTCATTTAGTGCTGCATCTCAGCCCCGCCATCAGCCCTAGGATTGCGAAGCAGGAAAGTCAAAAGCCCAACCAGAGAGCCAAGACGAATTAAGGGGTGCTGTGGCCAACTCTTTATCATCACCAAGTACTGCAGGCTGTATCAGGCAGTTGGTTTGGAATGAATTCGTAGCAGACTTTTAGGAAAATGTACCCCATGGAACATAGTTTACAGGGTAAATACAGAAGTTAACGTGCTTGGGACAGAAATAATCCTTTTCTTTTCACAAAGCAGCTGCCGTTACTGTGCTTTGAAACGTCCTAAGAGCTATTTGCAAAACAACAGAACTACTCCCATTCACTAAGGAGAGTAGCAGTGTATACAACAAAATCTGAAATCAAGTAGAGTGTCTGTAAAAATAAGAATGAGATACATTCGATTTATTTTGTTTATTCAGAAAGCAATTCAGTATGAAAACAGCTAAACCATCAGTGCTTGAAAACAGAAACAAAGTGCATTTCATTAGTCTGTAAATATGATTTTAAATACAAACACAGGATGTAAAAACTGGTGCACCATCACCTCTGTAATGGTGCGGAGCCCATATGGAGAAGTTTTAGACTTGTTCCCATTAGAAGAGTTTATTCCAAGAGATCAACAACGATTTACTTTCTGTAAGATTTAATTTCATCTGCGCCCTGATTTTCTGAAGACAGACAGCATTGATTTCCTGAACATCTTTCTTAAAATGTGATTCATCCATCATCATTCACAACCAGAGTGCGATAATGAAGAATAAGATCATTTACACATAAATTGCTTTTGAACCCTGTCTGTATAATCATAGACTCCTACACAATTTTAAACCCACAAGGAGCTCTTAAAATGCATAGGTGAATAAAATGCTATCTTGATAAAAAAAACCAACCAACCAAACAGAAGAATAAAATTGTCACCACTCAAATCACGTGTAAAACCACTCTAAGAAGAGTATTGAGCTTAATCAGCGTTTCCAAAGTTCAAAACTGAAGAAGAAAGTTTCAGGTAGCATTTTTGTTACTTGCATCCTTTCATTGTAAATATGAACATGTAACTTAGGCCACACCTGTGTTGGGTAAAGCTCAGAGTTAAGATTATTAATCGTGCATCTCTTGCCTTAGAAGTCAGGGATTAAAACTCCACCATGAGGGCACACTTCTAATCACTGGCTTTTCTCAAATAAATCTTGTTGAGAACTCTGACTGTATCAAGGATCAAGCTGTCAAATATGTCTTCAGTCACGCTCATCTTCACAGTTAATTCATCATCACCATAGTAAGTCCACTGAGATTCTTCTTTGTGGAGCTCCTGAATCTAAAATATAACACAGATATGAATGTTTACTGCAAGAGCATGGTCAGTTCTGGGAGGCACCAAGGAGCTGTGCCTAACCTAATGACTTTACATACGCAATATTCACTTCAAACAGTCATAAGAAATTAAAATACTGAATAGTTATTGCAGGTGCAGTGAAAAGGATGCCCATGACCCCTGTAAGTTCCAAAGTTACTTTAAGTAAACATGATGAAACAACGTGAGCGTTTCTGGTTTCAGTGTAGAGAAAGTAAACAGGTCTTTGTTGAGAGGTCTGCTTACCAGGATGAGATCCACTCTGTCTCTCTCACAGTTTCCATACTTAGTCATATTAAGGAATTTTCTTTTCCCTTCTAAGTCATTCCTTTCCAGGTTCATTATTTTAATCATTTCCCCCTGAACAAATGTCTAAAAGATAAGAAAGGGTGAAAAGAATTGTTCTCATGAGAGATCTATCGTTGTGAAGTGTTGGAAATGTGTGAAAAGGGCCAGTGTGGAGATCCAGCATCAAATCTAGAAATGCCCCACATTTTAGGGGGCTGGTTTAGAAGCAGCTGATTGATACTGACCAAAGAACACATTTTCAATGTAAGATCACTTCAGGGGTAGCACCCGAGATTACTGTAACCATGGACATTCAGAAGCCTGTCGTTCCTCTTGAAAGCCCTCTGCACTTGGAATATTGGGACAGTCTGTATTTACTGAGATATTTCAGTTGCACTGCCTCAACCCTTCCAACTTTGCCACTGTGTCACTGCAGTGCCTGCTCTCTTTACTCTTGTTGTTCTACAGTTTACATTTCCAGAATTTACCTTAACCTCATTGACATCTGTGCTTCTGCAGCAACACCTACAACAGCAAGATCTCAAGTTTTCTTTCAACCACGGAAATGTTTTTGGATGTGCAGTCACTTGATACTCCGCACATAGAAGCTCGTGAGTCAAATCGAATATAACCTGCAACATCAAAAACACAGAGCCAAACTGAGTACCACATGATGCTCTTTCCAAAGTTCTCTTAGTGTTTGACAAAAGATACCAGGCTGCTGACGGCAGGGCCTTGCATCTCAGTGCAGAACTTATGATCATAGCTCACATCACAGATTTTCCTCTAGCTGTTGTGATGATCGTCACCTAACGAGTACGTCAGCCCGTACAGCAGCAGGTCTCAGGCAGTAATGTGTGATCACTCACTAAGTACAGGTTATGCACAAGGCCCTGGTGGGACTCAAATCTGCCATGCAGACAGAGGTCCACAAAATTCAGTAATTCCATGAAGATCTGTCCAAGCTCAGAGGCAGTGCACTTGGCCTCTAGATTGTAGCTTTCCAGGGAGTTTGTTTTGTCCTGACAGACCCAAATCTTATCCAGGGTCTTAACAGAAGAGCCGTAGCAAAGGGCTCGTATCACAGCAAGGATGCCTATCCTAGAAGAATTAATTTACAGTTCATTAACAGAAGCAATATTTTGCAATAGCATTGTCAGTGTTCCTCTGCTCTATTCAGTATCAGCAGCAGGCATAACAGTAGGTACCAGCTAATGCAACTCATCCTACAGAACACTGAAAAAAACACAACAAATGACAATCAAACACTTAGAAAAAATACCTGATTATACATCCTTTTGCTTTCTGTTTCCAAATCACTCCCTGGGAAGTCATTACACTCAGACTGCTTTGGCACACTGGTTCTTGTGAAATTCGAATAAATGTTTTCTGGAGTCCATAATTCTTCTACAGCATATGCAGACAAGTTCTTTACATATGAAGTGTAGTGTGGTACCACAAGGGGAACCTCTACAGTTCTCTTCCAAGGAGCTGAGTGCCAATGATCCAACAAGTATTGCTTTTGTGTTTGCCTTTCCAGAGCACGTTCATTAGAGTTTGGCTGATCAAAGTCTTTAGAGCTTCCAAAAACACCAGCGTCGAGGATTTTTAAAAGGAACTTCAGTGGGGAGAGAAAGAAAAACAAGGTGATGTACCCCATACTTCTCCACTGCTTTTTAGAGGCATTGAAATCATTAGCAAGTGATTTAGGGCTACACTTAGAAATCAGGAATCATATGCTCTCACTCAGGGGCTCAAATAAAGGCTTACTGATGTGTCAGAAAGAAATATGTATTTTAATTGTATTTACTAGAATTCAGAATTAGATTTACCTATTTGAGTTCTATGAAAGTTTTTGCTATTTTTACATTTTTGGTTCTGATTTGGGATTGCTTTTCCTACCCACTCCTCAAACCAAGTCTCTTTTTTAAAGCTTTCTTTTATAGTGCTTCCCCATGAACTACTTTGGAAGCGAAAAATGAACAGGCTGGAAATGGAAGCAGCAGGCATCAAAAGTGCCGTTTCACTGGAGTTCCAGGCTCCCCAGTAGGCTGAAGGAGAAGTGAGAGAACACTGCACACACGTCATCCACCAGCTGCAAAGTTCTTTAAATGATGGTTTAGTAGTTCAGCTCCATATGTTGACACAATGCAATTTTTGATGGAAAAACAACTGGGCAACAGAAATGCTTGCAGCATAGACCCAACTTCAGATCCAACACTTAAGGTGACAAACTTTTCTGAGTGTACTTACAGGCAAAGTAGTTGGAGGAGTCTCTGAAGATGAAGGGAACCTCTTGTCTGTTTTTACTCCTTGTTTTCTTTTAGTCTTCTTATATTCCTTAACTGCATCCCCTACAAACTTAGCCACAATTCTTTCTGCTATCGTGTGACAACCATGAATGCTAAGCATATTGAAATCATGCAGTAAAAGATCAGCAACCTTTGCTGATTGCTCAGTTAAGCTAGCAAGTGGATTTTCTTTGATAAGAAATTGTTTCTGACTGTCCCCTTGTTTTAGGCCTTTGATATAATTTGTCACATTTTCTTCAAAGGCACCTTTGTATTTGTGTTGAGCTGTTTCAGAGAATGCAATTAACGCATCCAATAGAAGTTTCTTACTGAGTTCAGCTGCGATATCATCAGTGAGTTTATTTCTTTTCTGATCCTCTACCAAGCAACAAACATTTTTGTTTGTGTTCATGCCATCTGCATGGCTAGCCTCACTTTCCTTTGGAGGCACACCTGCGAGCATCCCTTGTTTTATTTGTATCAAGTCTGTTTTTTCTTTATCTGATCCCCAGCACATTAAATTGTTTTGGTGATGACATTCATCACATTTACAGTGGTCAGAATGTGGAAGTGTTTGACTTCTTCCACACTGCAAGGCAACATACAGCCTAGACTTCTTTTCTGACACTTCTGATCCTCCTGGACTTTTTGTATCTTCAGCTTTCTGCTCTGTTACCCCTGCACCCTGCTCACCAACTTCAGGGTATCTGCAGTCTCTTCTGAAGGATTCATCATCATAGAAAGAGTCTGAGTCTTCATCCCCAGTGGAACTGGAACCATTGTTGTTATCCTCCAACAGGTGTGAAATCTCACCAGGTCTGACAAAGACACCACAGTGCTGTGCACATTCAAAATACTTCACCCCTTTGTAAGTTCCAGCATGATCACCTTCAGCTTTGTCCAGTGCGACACCAGCCCAGAGGCCGCTATCAAAGCAAGTCCGTCCTTTGAACATCAGGGTTCCAGGTTGGGTCTGCTTTACTAATACTCTGTCTCCAATTTCAAATGCTGACAATGGGTCATCACTGTCCTCCTCAGCTAATGGCAGCGTTACAGATGTTTTGCACTGTTTCATCATGGAAGCAGGATTTTTACTGGCCTGACTAGAAGAAATAGGATCTGACACAGGCAGAAGCTCCAAAGACTGCGAAGGCATCTCCTGTTCTCCTTCCTGGTATTCTGACAAGTGCTCCTTTGCACAGGAAATATCTTCAACTAAATACTGTTCTGAGAGGTTACCTTCCCGAGTTGAAAAGATATCAACTGGCTCTCGATTGAACGAGGGATATTCTTCAGACGCAGTGTCATCAGGTAATGGGGGAAAAGCATCCATTTTCAGGGATACATCTTCATTCATACACTGTCCAGTCTCTGGTGCTGTCATTTGTTCTGGTGGAGATGGGAAATCATCTGTACTGAAGCTAGAATCATCATTTTTCATTGTATCTACACCCAAAGGGGGAGGAGGGAGATCTTCCCTTGGAAATGACAAATCCTTTTTATTAGAGGATGGCAAATCAGCACTTGCATAGGACAACACTACATCAAGAGGAGACAGTATTTCTGACAAGGTAGCCTCATCAGACAGAGGAAGGCCCTCATCACTAATAAAAATTGCATAATCTTCACTTCTGAAAGAGTTCTCAGAGTGAAACAGTTGCTTTTTTGAGGAAGAAAACTGCCCATTTCCCAGTTCCTTTGTGGCTTGCCTGTCAGTTTTTGAGTTCTTATGAGCTCCTGGGGCCAACCTCTGCAAAGACCCAATGGAGGTGGTTTCTGTATGGACTTCCCCAGAAATTCCCTGTGTGGACAAGGGCAGAGATACAATCTGATCGAGTTCTCCAGATATGCTTTTCTCATTCAAAAGCTGTGCATGATCATTTTGCACTGTTGCATTCCTGGACAGTGAACACGCTACTGATTTGCCATTTGCAATATCTTTGTCAGGTGGAAAAGAGACAGTACTACTAAATTGGTTATCAGCCACATCTAAAGGTTTCAAAGAATCCATCAGCGGAAGACTTTGATCCCCTAATAAGCTGCTAATTCCATCATTCCTCTTTGATTTGTTAGTGATAGAATCAGGAGCGTGCTGCTTGTAGTTCTGAAGGAGGTAAATGCCATCACTGCACAAAGAGCTGGCAGCTGCATTTTTTGAGTTCCCTGAGGCTTCCAAGTGTGGCTTATCCATTCCCTTGGTGGGTTTACCAAACTGAGAGGAATCCAGTGGTGTTGTTTTGGAGGTATTTGCTTTGTCTGCTGAAAGGAAAGAAAGCAAATGACCAGTGCACCCATGAGCTGAAGCCTCTCCAGGGCATTTCTGGAAGTTCTGAGAGCATGATGAAATCTCTGTGCTGCTGTCATCCTTGGACACTTCAAGTTCATTGTGTTTGTCACTTTGTAATGTTTTCCTCCCAGAATTTATTGCTATCGGTGCCTTTTTGGGAACATTAGGAGAAGCATCATAGACTAATTCTTCTGGAATAGTGACATCAGCGTCCTCTCCACCTTGCGCCTCTAATTCAACATCTGCAATAGAGCATTCTGAAACATCAATCCAAACTGCAGACACTTTCTGAAAATCTGGGAGAGAACAGTCAGATCTGGCACTTTCAGAGCTTGGAGAGAAGCTGTTTGACTCGCACAGTGATTCAGTAGGACCTAATCCTGCAGAAAAAGCTTTCCTCTGTAGTTCTTCAGCAGAAGTTTCTCGAGAATGATGGCCCAAAGGCTTCAGAGACTGGCTGCCATCCACCTGGTGGATCTCAAAAGGGGCAGACGTTTCCACTTCACGTGGAACATCTAAAGAACAAATTCAAGAAAATGTTTTTATTTTGTAGAAGAAGTTGCTGGATTCAAATCTATTGAACACTCAGCAATAAGTTGCATTTGAAAAGTCTGCAGCATTAAATTCACTATCAAGTTGGAAATTATTTGGATATCATAAAAACAAGTCAGGCTTATCAAATAAAGATGAAGAAATGAGTGTTGTAGCAAACAAATACAATAGTGCCAAGGTAGTTGATCAGAAGAGTCAAAGGCAAAGTTTTCATTAAGATCTCTATTATTTTAGCCCCAGGAGGAACTTCACTGCCTGATACAAGTAGACCATTATTCCCTATGGACAGAGAGTTCTCCAGGAAGAGCTGTTACTAAGATTATGATAAATAACCACAGAAGCCCTATGGGGAAAAGGCACTTACCTTCTGAAAAAAGGATTTCGGAAGGTGCTTTTTCAGCTACACGCATGATCTGCGATTCTCTTTCAGAATCTGGGCTAACCCTGAAAATACAGCATTGTAATTGGATTAAAACTGAAATCACGAAGTGCACGGCACTCAGAAGCGTTCAAAAATGTTGGTGCATTACATTACATTTTTCTAGGTGTATTTCTACCCATACACAGCACAGTGCTGGACATGGCACCTTGTTTTCAACTGTTACTTCAGATGCTCTCTATTAAGACCAAAGCACTCTGTAGATACATTTTCTGAAGTTGATTTCAACATTCATTCAGTTGACTCAAAAAGAATTAGATGTTCAAAGAACAGAACCAACTATGAGCATCAAGCTGAAACAAGGCAACATTTGACACATGAATAAGCAGCAGAAGGTAGGACAGGAGCTCTTGATCTTGACAGGGACGGTACCTTAGCTCAGCTAATGAACTTTCTTTCCTTAAATGAGTTCCCATTACTGTAGATCCACTTGACATTGGTGCTGACCTTTTTTCACTGTCTTGGCCATCAAAAGAAAGATCTTTCTTCCTTGTCCCAGCCTGAAGAGGCAATGATAAAAAAAAATAAAAAGCACTGAATAAACAAGAAAACTGAAGAATGCCAGTGAATTGCCACTGAAATTTCTCCAGGTTTAAGGCAATACAACACAACAGAACTTCAACGCAGCATCGACTTCATTATGTACAAGCTGAGTTCCAAGTGTGATATCTCCATGACAGACAATACTGTGCATTTCCTCCCTTGAAAATTTTATGCAAAGATAAAAAACAGGTAAGAAAACCATCAGCTTGACACGTGCCTGAAATGGACCACATGGGTCTTGTTCTTCTCTACAAGTCCTGCCATTTCTCTGCTCCCTGGGTGCTTTCTCCACTGTCACAGGGTCATTCTCTTGATCTTGTAAGAATGAGGTGCCATTACCTGAAATGCACAGATTACTCAGTGCAGAAGGAAGATGCGAAAGCCTTTCACCCTAAACTGATTGTTTTCCTGGTTTTATTTTGCTCCTACTCCTTGTCACCCCTACAGAAGCTAAAGGGGCACTGACCTTATTCATCCAACCACCTCCTTATTTATCTTCCAGTTATGGAGCAGAAACTGTAATTCTCACTTCCAGAAATTTCTATGCAGTCTCTCTTCCTATGCACAAATGCCTCCCCAACAAGACCACTTACAGCTTGTTACACTTTCTTCTTGCTAATCCTGAACAGATCCTCGTGCCAAAACCCACACTGCAGACAAACAAGGAATAGATAAGCATCACAAGTTCTCTCCCATAGGCTACTCAGCTTTACAGTCCTCTTCTAAAAGATCATTTTGAACTGCTCCAGAGCACTGCTGAGGTTTCAACTCTCGCCTTCAGTAATTTAATTTGACTAGATGTTCACAGTTGGCTACAGAAGTCCTTTTTTAATTGTGTACCTGCGTTTGTGGAATGTCTGATCACTAAGACCATGCCTGTGGTTTGACTGGTAGCATCACACACTTTCTTGGCCACTGTTCCAGACACATCAGGACCTCTTGCACCCAGGGACTGCTGCAAACTCAATGGCTCCTCTGTCTGTTGCTGGTACTGTAGCAGTGCTTTCTTATTCTTGGTAGAAAAGCTGAAAACAGTCAGACAAGGAATTCATGACTGGGAGTTTTTTGTGTTCCCAAGTCACAACATGCCTCTGCAAAGTTGATGAAGAAATGAAGTAAGAGTTTCTGGTAGCCCATGCTGGTACCTATACTAGTAGCATGTGCTTGCATGCACATGCTTATAAAAGCCAGTTATTTCTCTCTCTCCCTTCCACTCACAGTACTGTATTTTATACAGGCATACCAGAACAGAAGACTAGAAAATAAATCATCAGCTCTGAAAATGCAAAACAAAAACAAAACAAAAAGACCAAACCACAAAACCAACCCCATGACTATCAAGTATTTAAGGACGTGAAACCAAGCATCCCAATTTGGCAGATTCATTCTCAATCCCTAGCCAAATGTTTGCCTGCTTACAAGAATTCATAACTATAAACTCCGTGTTCCTTGTTTCTTGTATTTCACATCTACTGTTGAAACCCCAAACCAGCAGCTTTTTCTGCAGGTTAGCAATTTATTTATTACTTCACTTTATTTTTTAAATAGCATTTCCCAATCCCTTCCATTCCCTGACAGCCCTGCTTATTAACTTGATCTTCCTGGTCAGGATAAAATATTAACATACCTGCACAGGGGGTGGATGGCATCATTACCATTCCACACTTATATGGGAAACAGATCTATACACAGTAATGCAGCAGAGTGTGGATGCATTGAGCTCCACCAGGCCCTGTCTGCCCCAGACTTATGCTAATACTGCTCTCCTATGAGCAGGCTTGTCAGTAATAAGAAGCGAAAGCACAGCCAAGAAACCTTTTAAAGATCCCTGTGACTTGTAATCAATAACACCATGAGTTATGGATCAATTCCACGACGGGATTTATTTGAAAGCCTTTCCCTGTGGGCAGTGCTCTGGCCAGTCTGCACAGGGTCTGGGGAACACCAAATGAGGGAGCTTCTCCTGTTGTCTTCAGTCGCTTCTCCTGAAGCAAGCTGGACGTTTGTTCACCTGAACCATTTGGACAACAGCCACACTGAGCAGCACGAACACTGCGAGCCCTCACCTGCACTGCTCAGCACCTCCTGCTCAGGGCAGAGCAAATGGGGGTGTTGGGGGTGTTGTGGTGATGGCATCTGGGGAATGGGAGGTCAGTGCTTTCTCAAAACAGTTCTCCCTGAATTCCCACATTACACGTGACTGTGGGTATTTTACTGACACTTCTAAGCATCAGTTTATGCATAACATGAAGCCCCATGTAGCACAAAAGCCTTCTGTAGTTAAATCCCAAGCGAAAGACAAACCTGCTCTGAGGGGTTAAGTGATACATAACCTTAGAGTGGATGATGGAGTGATTTTCACCAATTAAATCAATACGTTTCTACTCACTTCACCTGGGTATTTTGAAGTTTAATATATAGTTGCAAAGTGCTCTGAGCTTGTAGGTAGAAGTCATCATGACAATGTGAATTATCATCAGACATTGTATGGCATCATTAAAAAATATCCAGGTTATTAAAGCTATGGAAATTGACTGGCATAGGTCTGCTGTCAAAACTACAGCTGTTCCTAACATTACAGAGATGGGCTTCAGTCCCACAGAACTGCTTAACAGTTCATAATACAGATAATCCTAGGGAAATGGCATACACTGGTAAACGTATTCTACTTGAAGAGTTTAGCAAGTAATATGTAACCTTTATATATCTCCAGATATGGATCTATACCTCAATTTACTTGGAACTGTTCATATACCTGGCAATAAGCTGGTACTTGCCCCAGTGAGCTTACCATTTTAGATACGAGATGGCAGACTGAACAAACAGAGGACACACAGAATAATCGATGAGGCAATATCGGTCAGAATGTTAAGCAGGGATATTGATGCATCAACTGCTTGACCACGGAGGTTTTCAAAACTTATCATTATGAAACGCCCTCTTGGGAGCATTTAAACCTCACACAATTATCTGGGCTATAACTGCTCCTGCCTTCCCCACCGGATTGGTTTTTGTCTTCAGCTATCACTGCGGAATGGGTTTTACTTACCCATCATATTTTTTGTTTTGTTTGTTCTTCAGCTGGACATAATTCTGTTTATCCCCACACGCATCAGGCCCTGAAGATTCTGCCAAGGGGGAACCTAACATAGCATTAGAAATCTGTCTCATCTTTGGTTTAATTACTTCGTCAGTTGCTGGGCTCCTGGTAAGCTGAAAGGAAAAGGACTGCGTAAGTTTTCACCTGGGTATTAGCTGCAGTGCCAGCTCTGACTTTGTTATTATCCATCCACATAAACAACCAAAAAGAAAATTGAGACTTCTATTAACAGCCTCATTAGGACTGCAAAAGTAATCAACAGGCTAAGAATTAGTTTAATGGAAACAATCTCATGTAAGAATTGAATGGTCTAAGATGCTGAAGTCCTGTTCAGATCCAGCTTTTATGAGAATCTTTACCTTAGATTCAATTCTAATAACAAAGAACACCTGTTTATTAAGAGAATAAGCAGATGCCCAGCACACAAGTCCAAGCCTAGCACGACCTGCACCCACACAATTAAAAGCTATCACTCATTAAGTGACTTGATAACCTTTTTCTCCCCAGTTAGATGATGCAGTTCTTCCCGGAGTTTCGCTGCTGATTGCTGTATCATTAAGATTTCTCTTTGTTGCTTTAATAAGAGTTTCCTCTCTTGATGGGCCGCCCTGTAGATATTTTGCAGGTGCTGTATTTCTACCTGCATAAAGCAGAGAAAGAAAACAGTAGGAGAGAGCTAAGAATGAATTTTAAAAAGCACCAGAAGGTAGGAAACAAACGGAACAGTGCACATGAAATAACACCAGTAACCTTTTTCCCTTTAAAAATACAAAAAAAGCAATACGAAATCTTGCTCCAACCACCTCCCAGTGCTGCATGAAGCAGGGGAGATGCAACAAGCCCCAGATGCTCTTGCAGCATTACCTGCTCTTGTTTCAGCTCTGTTAGGACTCTGCGCTGCTTCTCAGCCATGGCAGAGGCTCCCTCGGTGTCTTGCAGGAGTTCCAGACAGCTGAGAATCAGAGAAGGACAGGTACCATGGTCAGGTGGATAATTTAATGCCATGAATGCAATAGTTTCGAGGGGGAGGGGGGGAAAAGCAGCTATAATGCACAGGAGCAAAGCTTCTCTCCAAAGAGCTGTGGAGCTGCAGTAGCCATGGCAGGCGCTGCAGAAGGTCCTGCTGGGCTGTGAGGGCACATCACCATGGAAGGCCGACCCACAAGAGGAGACCAGACCACCCTGAGGGTCAGAGGAAGGGACACCTCACACTGCTGGGATGCTGCAGCTGCCCCTTCTGCTGTGCTCTGAAGAAAACCAGCAGGTCCTCTCCTGCTTCTTCACCCGCACACACTCCATACAAATTGGGTTTTATATTTGCTCTCTTTCCCCTAAAGGAGGAAGCATTCTGACAGCGCAGGAGCTGCACCCCTCCATCACAGGACCCTCCCCAAGGCAGGCCCACCTGCCCAGCTTCCCTCACCGCCTCTGGTGGCCCAGCCAGGCCAGCTCAGCTCTGGCTTTATCCCGCACGGCTCCCCTGCGCAGCTCCAGGAGGGCGGCCTGGTGGCGGGCGCGCAGCTCCTCTCCCCTCAGGCACTGCTCTGCCATGGCCAGGCTGAGGCAGCAGAAGGAGCTGGAACGTCCATAGTGCCGGCCAGCATCACTCCACTGGGGACAGAGCAGAGCGAGTTTCACACGGGGACCGAAAATACAACAAGATCCAAGCCCAGTAGGGTGGAAGCAGAGCTGGTGTTACCTGGCTGTCCTGGTCACTGCTGTCCCTGGAGCCATCTGCTGTGCAGGGATCCCCGTGGGGCAGCTCTGTTGGAGCTGACAGCAGGTTCAGCCCTTGGTGGCCATGCAATGGCTCCCTGTCCTCTGCTGGCAGAGATCCTGAGGAAGGGAAGGTTTCAAGTCATCATAAATAGAATATCTAACAGATAGAGAAACAGAGAAATGACTGAAATTTGTGATTAATGGTTCCAGCTCTTGAATTTTACAGTATATCGTAAGCTATGCTAGAAAACACCACTGTTTACACTGTGCCACCAAATCCTTTAACTCAGAGCTCACCTTCATGAAGGGCTGAGCCAAATGAACTCCTTCCTCCCAGAGATTTCCTTTGTCCCACAGCTTTGGAGTCCACTGGGCTCCGATCTCTCTCCACATTCAATGGAAGTTGTTCCAGGGAATGCATCTCTTCATTACTGAAGATACAAGAGGAAGGACATTTTTCACTTGTTGCAATTAGAGAGAAAATTTAAATCCCCAGCTTTCTTTGAAAAACCCTCAGAGGAGGCATCTGATGGCACCACTGCAGGCTGCACTGCACACTGTGTCCCATACCTGCCAGCTGTGCTGTCACCTGCAGACTGCTGTCCTGCCCATGTTTGCTCTGCATGGTCCAGCTTCAGCACAGGGGAATCGCTGCCTTTAGAAGTGCTGCGCAGCTGCAGAAACAGAAATGGTCCATAGATGTGAGCAATCTATTTGGAAGGCAGAACTTTCAGTCCTTCTCCCCTTACCCTGTTGGGTACAAATATATTTATTTTAACAGTTATTCCTTATGAGCTCAAGGACCGATGAGATGGGTACTACTGACAGTGAAGTAACTGGGTACGGAGGGCAGGGAGCATCACTCATCCTTAGGGTGTATAAAACATATGGAAAAATAAAACAGCACAGAGGATGCTTGGCTCAATCCAGAAGCAGCAGCACAGGAACTGGAATCACTCACCTTTAAATCGTTCTGAAGCAGGTCACTCAAAGACCTCTGGCTTTCCTGAAGCTCTAGCTTGGCTTTCTCACTCAGCACTGCCAGCCACTGCTTCTGCTGGAGCTGATATGCCTATGGTAGGAAATGACACACTGCATATGGTATTTTTAACTGAGTCACATGGCTCCTCAGAGCTGGGTGCCAAAGGGCAGCAAACCCTGAGAGAGCAGCACAGGTACTGTGCCACCAACCCCTGCTGTATCCTGCATACCCTCTGGAAGGCAGCCCAAACACTTCTCTTTGCCTCAGCTAACACAAAACAAGGCATTCGTGGCCACCTGCACTAATATAGCATTAACAAACAGTAAATAAAGCTTTGCACCTCTCCGTTGCAGCCACATGGATTTTATAAACCTGCTGCAGAACCAGCTGATGCCAATTATGGCCTGAACACACCTGTGTCCTTGGATAGCCAGCAATTTTTATTTCATTTTATTTTTAAACCTCTGATAGCAGCACTGAAATTGCTTTTGGTCTGGACTGCTTACTGTACCTTCAGTTTGTGAGCCAGCAGGAGGGAAGTTTGTTTTAAGTTGTGCAGATGGTTCCTGTGTTTCTCTTTCAGTTGTGCACAGCTAGGGTCTGCCTCACCTGCAGAAACTTACAAAGTGGATGTTAACAGTCACCATATTTTAATTGAAAAAAATAAAAAGAATCCATGCTGTATTTAATAGGTGCCAGCAGAAGAAAGTATCAGAATTTAGGAGAGGGAGGCAGCAGAAGGAGAATGCTTCGGATTCCAGTGGGATGCTACCCTGAAAATGCATTCCTATGCTGTCAAAGTCCATGGGGATTTAGGGATTTGCCAGGAGGGGCGGCTTGCTGGGTCCCAGCTGGGCACACGACACCTTGTGAGCAGTCAGGATATTTTCAGCAGGGTCCCAAGGTGTCCAACTCCCAGCTCTGCTGCGTTTCAGGCCTGGCTGTGCTTCTCAAAGCATTCTGAAGTTGTAACACACAGACATAAACAGGGCTGCTGAAAGGGAGAGGGTGATACATACATTTTTGTACCTATGTTTTCCTTTTGAATCCTTCCTGGACCTATAATTGGAAAACACCTAAATCTCACATCTGCCTTTATTCTCAGACCAGCTTTTCTGCATGTATTTAAGAAGGAAATCGTCCCTACCTCCATCCTGTCAAGAAATCTGTTAGCAGGCAGTCCTGCAAGCAGTGGGGAGAGGGAAGGGGGTCGGATTCAGGAGGGTTGTGCCAGGAAGCAGGACTGAGGAGCTCCTAACTGTTCTCTGGTCTGAAGTCCAGAGGGTGTGTTTTTGTCACTCTGCTCCTTCACTGCACGAGCAGAATCAGATCCACTGGTTACAAAAGAAGAAAATCTTCCCAACCTGGTGATCTCTGGGGGAGCCCTAACAGCATCACATGTGCCCTCCATCCTGTCCCTGTGCAGGGCTGCAGCCTTGACGTCTCTGTTTTGTCATGGGGGAGAAAAGCCTTTTGCTTCTATGTGGGGAAAACAACCCTTGTTCCAGGTGCGCCTGTTTCCCTGCTACTTCCTTATTGTGACTCTCTCATCTGCCTTTTACAGTATAGGTGATGTAATGTTTACCAGTGATGTTCTTGGCTGCCTTAGGCTTCTCAGATGAATTGCTAAGCTTATGCAAACAGGTTGAGTGTTTACTCTGAGCTGTGCCACTGTCACAGCAACCAGAGTCATAAATGAAGTGTGGGTCATAAATAGAAATAGGTTTGACTTGGTAACATCAGATATAATCTGTATCCACGTTCAGATCGCCTGAATCCAAATGACCCCACATCCCAGGGTAAACCCACAACACGCAGGGTTCAGTTTTGCTTATGTGAATCTCCCAGTTCTGGGTGGTTGTTTGGAAAGGCAGAATCATACAGAATGGTTCAGCCATCGCACGGCCAACAGAAGGTTCGCTTTCAACAACTGTTGGTTTCACCTCACGCTTCCCACTCTGGGGGTCTGACTCAGATTATCCAATGCTCACAGCTACCAAAGCTCAACGTGAGGGTGGCCTCTTCAGCGCAGAGAAATAAGATGATGTCACAGCAAACCAAATTAATAAAGGGAAGGTATGGAGCAGATCTATTGGTGTTAACTTGTCTGAGTAGATTTCAATACCAACGTGTGAACGATGGGAATCTATTAGGGCACTGTTTACAACTGGGAAGTATTTTCCATTTGTGCCTCATGAATGATGTTATTGGTGTTCCATTCAGAGACTGACCACCAGGATTGATCTCAAGGTGAACACAAAGTTTTTTTCTGAGATGTTTTCACTCCTCTTGGACATCATTTTCCTAACAGAGGCTGTTGCCAGATGCATTCATTGTGTTACAACATCCTGCGTTAGGGAAAATACCATCTGGCTAGAATTCACGTATGATGAATGGCATTTTACTGCATATCCAGATAGCTTCAATGTACACACACTCTGTCTTTAAAAAAAAAAAAGCTATTTATTAAATCAATTTCCACTGCACCTGCAGAATCTCAGCAAAGCCCTGTAGTATCTCTGTGACATGTAATTAAAAAAGCTGGGCTAAAAGTCTCATTTTTCTAATCACTTGAAGCTAGGCAGAAGCACTTACTGCTGCGCTACTCAAGGACAGCTTTTCCTCTTTCTGCCCGTGTCAGCAATCAGTCCAAAGCAGTGATTACCAAACTGCTTCCATGCTGCTTCAGATGGAAGCACAGCTTTTACTGCATCGTTCCCTGGATGTCAATGGAGGTGGGGTGACAGTGGTCCAGAAAGGTCTCCTGTAATGGAGACACGGACCCAGCACTAAGAGACCACTTGCTGCCCAAGGCAAGGCAGTCTTTCTCTCTCAGTCGTCACTGCACTGACCTATTATGTGATGAGCTCTTCAGGCTTGGGGTGGGTGAAATCCCAGCCAGGCATTTCAACACTTTGTTGGTGTGCAGGAACTGAGTTGTAGTGATGACAGGTGAGCAGTGATACAAAGGTTTGCAGACTCCAGATCAAACTGAGACATGCAGCACCAAGTAGGACAGCTGTTCGTCCTTCCTTTAACAAGACCTGAGCCAAGAGCAATCCCTAAGTAAGAGACTCTAATCTTGAGAGCTACACTTATTTACCCAGGAAAATCAATGCCCTCATCTGCATCCTTGAGTACCTTGGAGAATCTGTATTTCCACATCTGCAGTTTCTTCTCTCTTCTATAACTATGCCACTTGTCACTGAGGGGTAGCTGCTTGCTGGACTGAGGGATTAATGTGGCCGGTGCCATTCCTGTCCTCTGCACGTTTTGTGCTTATATTTAAATCCTCTGGTGCATGGGGTTGGCCAGAGTTCAGCTTCCAGCCAGATGTTGCAGCACATGGCCATACGTCACCCTGCTATTGACCCATCCGTGTGTGACATCTCACACACACAGCAAGTCAGCAGCTCTTGCCACAGGCTAGCAAGAGATGGGCCTGCACCTGGACCTAACCAGCACACTGACTTTCTGTGAAATGTTCCTTCTGTGTCTTATCTGTTATATTAAATTCCCTCAGCCTATTGCATGCCCAGCATGGGTAACAAAGCCCCGCTCTGTGTGGCAAAGCAACACTGGACCCACAGAGCAAGAAATACACGTATCCACATGCTTTGTGGCAACGTTTTACAGGTGACTTTACAGGTGGAGCTCACCCAAGCTTTGTGAACTACAAAAAGCGGTGCCTATTTTGTGGCAAAACACGAAGAGCTCTCTTATCTCTGAGCCATCAGTCGGAGGACCATTGGCTGCTGCACTTCTGTGCTGATGGCGTTAACTTCATCGTGCCTCCCTCTCCCACAGACAAGAAGGCAGCTCCCTCTAGTGATGTGAGACAGCACTGGATCAGCAGCTAAGCACATACGTCGTAGAGATGAACATACACCTTTTGTGATCCAGGCTAAGATTATGCATTTTAAGAACGATGGGCAGCATTCCATTGGTTTCTCAGTGCCACAGCTCTCAATCAGTAGCTGTGTGGAAGATGAAGCACTCACAAAAGACTTGTTTAATGGCAATTCTCAGCTTACATCTTGTCTCTCGGATACATAACAGGAAGAAATGAGGGCCTGGCATACTGAAGTGGGCTTTCCCACTCATAGTCCATGTGCAAATGGCATTTACAGTTCTGGGTTTCACATTGGTTGTGTTCAAAAACAAAGTTCAAGAGCTCAGGACAGGCTCACTGGCTCCACTCGAGCAGTGAGCAGTTACAAATAGTTTGTGAACATCAGTTTGGTGTATTCTATTATATCTGAAAATGCCAGTTGTCCTTTTGCCGAACGTGTTTACAACAGAGAAGAAGTAATTTCTTTGGCACAGCAATTAGTAGCTAGGTGATGCCTGTGCCTTCTACGTGTAAATATTTATACTTTGCCCTGGCTGTATAATTACACATCATTACGCTGCGTGTGCACGGCAACTTCTGTGTCCTGTGAAAGAGAACAGAAGCAACTGCTGTGCGATGCATGACAGCAGACAATGCAGCCCTGCGTCTGAATGCCCTTTTCCAGATACGAGTGGGGAACGGATCCACCGGTGACCCATATTTCAGGAGGACATTGTCTGCAGGATGACAGTTGTGTGCCTCATCTGCAGCAACACGGCTGTCGTGGGGCTGTGGGCTCGTGGTCAGAGCTTGGGCTGAGCTCACTGTCAGCTCCTATGGACACCCGGGGAAGGTGGAGGTGTCTCCTGGCGCAGGCAGCAGGCAGCTGCTCCCATTGTGCAGGGGCAGCAGCGGGCAGAGGGCTGTCTGTCTGCCATAGCTTCCAGAACTGGGCCTTTCCATATTAATAGTAAATAAATACAATGTCTTTCGTTGATGGTAAACACTTTGGACAATGGACTTCTGTCCAACCCTGAGAGGAACTCATGTGGTCCCCCGGGGACCGGAGAGAAGCGCAGCAAACAATGCTGGCTTCCCCACCAATCTCAAAATCCAATATTACTTATAAAATGTTGTGGGGAAAACAATGAAGAATCCTTAATAAGAGCAAAGGCTTTTTGTAAGTACCCTCTTTGAGGAAAGGTTATCTGATCTTGTTCTTTTGTCTCAGAAAAGCCCTTAAAACAATGCACCATCTGCTGCTGTTTGTTGCAAGCAAGCAGCGATCTCTCCAGCCAGAGCAGGCCTGCGTGCTGCTGTTTGCTGCTTAACCCTTTCAGCAACAAACTTCCCCTTGTTTCTATGCAAATATCTGCTGTGAGCAGAAGTGGCACTTTGCACCCACCCTTCCCTTGGCCTTCCCTTGGCTTGAGCCTCATCCAGCCTGCATCCTTTGTCACCCCCTGTAAGTGCTCTGTGCTGCACAAGGCGGATAACACCCCACGCTTACCCAGTGTATTAATCATGGGGCGTTAATTGCAAAGCATCCTTCAGATGCAGCCACAAGGGGATGGAGATGGCTCAGATCTGAGGGAGGTTTGTTCCGTCAGGGCAGTCTGTGGCTGCCACCATCATCGAGGTGACATTCTGCTGAGTTCACCTCTGCGAGACAGCGAAGCACTGAAGAAAAAGCCAAAGCACTCCTGTTGCATCTCTAGCAGAGTGTATCAGTGAAATTGGACGTGACATTTGGGGGGTAATGCTAGCTGCTGATTCTCTCCCAGTAGCACAGGCAGCAGAGGGGGGAGGCACAGAATACTCACACACCCACCCCATGGAAGCATCCCCTTACCGCAGTGCTGCTTAGTGCTGCCTCGAGCCCTGCAGGGCTGCAGTGTGCGGCTGCCTGCTGTCCTCAGGCTCTCCATGCAGGGATGGCGTTGGGCAGCTGCCCCTCGATCCTGCAGCGCTGGAACTGCCCCACACCTCTGAGCTGCAGGGTCTGTCTGCAGGCTGTGTGGAGGTAACAGTTACTGAGAGAGTTTTTGAGGTCAGGCACGGGTATAAGCATCTGCTGAACTCAAGAACGGTTTATTTCATTTTAGCAAAGCTCCCATTTCCCTCATTTTGTTAAACAGAAACAAAAGACCCACAGAAAAGTCACAGCTGCCCATGTACACAGCTGCCCTTCTTGCACCTCGGTATTGTCAGGAAAGCCAGGAACGCTCATTGCCTGCTCTGGGACTGCTCTGCAAGAGATGCCTTTTTCAAAACCAACTTTGCTGTTCCTAAGCTTTATTTATTAGGGTTGCGCTGTACATCACATGCCATTGTTGGCACCTGGTTGCACAGTCTGGCTCTGAAACTTGGCAGACATTTCCAAAATCTCTTTAGAAACCCAACGTAATGATCTCAGTTCCAGTCTGCCTGGGACCGTGCTGAGCATGGCCATGGCCCACCTGAGATCTGTCAGTGTATTTCCATATTTCAGCACGGTTGTCCTGACCACACTCTCAGGTAATTGCCTGACTTTGTTTTTATCCATAACTGTCTGAGCTGAACTGAAAAGATGAGGAAGGAGCAAAGGTGTGAAAATGGGCATTTATTGATCCAGCCCCAGCTTGAAATGCAGGTGGGGGACACATCAGAACGATGACAGATGTTTTCTTTTTGATACAGAAAAAAATGATTGTGGAATTTTATTTTTTTTTTAATCAGCAATCAGCTTAGGGAAATCTCATTTCATTTTTCTTGTTAATAAGCTTTTCTTTGTTTGTCATGACCCAGAAACAGCTGAAACGATTAGCGCAGCCTCCACTAGCGCGCCTTGGATGTGGTCTTCAAGCATTGGGAGCAGAGGGGGGTGGGGGAGAAAGAAAAGAGGCAAAAGGGATTTCTTACAAAGCAGTTCTAGCATTGGCTGGGCAAATACGCTGAGTAGCGTTTCTGCCTCTTTGTTGTGTTAGCTTTTCAGTCAATGCCACTTTTTTCTTCGGCTGTTGATAAATGTCTGCTTCTGTTTGGGAAGGCTGTGAACATCACTGGGAGTCAACACTTTGTATGAGGAGACACTGCACAACCAACAGTCCCTCTCCTCTAAACACAACCAGCTCTGCAGAGGGCATAAATCATCCCTAAATCACCCCAGTTGCCAGGTGAGGTTCTTTGGATCAACACCCCCCAAAGCAATGCAGGAGGAGCCGGCACCTGGCAGCCCCAGGACACAGCACCTCCACCTGCCCCCTGCCTGCTCTGCCTTGGGCCATAAGGCTGCCCAGGGCACTTCAATAAATGAACGTACAGCAAAAGTGCCATGATCTCTTTGGCTCCCCGGAGACGTGGAAAGAAACAGAGAGCCACTCCGATAGGTAACCGAATCCAAATAAGGATGAAATCGCATCAGCATTTCGTGGCGGTTTGGAGAATTCCCATCAGTGAGTCATTTGCATCAGCAACAAATCTCCGTCAGCCGCCTCTGCAGACTGCAGAGCAGCCGTGCATGAAATGGGAGCATTTCTTATGGAAAGATGCACCTGTGGGACTGCTCGCATGAATATGAATCGCTGTTTTCACAGCTCTAATGAAACATGTAAACACAAAACCGTGCTGTTGTAAGCAGCTATGGTAAGGTCATGTTCAGGAGCGGTGATTTTGTAACGCTGGATGTTTTGTATTCGTGAATGAGGCTGGCAAACAGTTTTGAGCAGGTGGCTTTGTTTAAATGAACTCTTGAAGGGAATATGCATGCCAACCAACGGCAGGCACACAGCAATATGGCAGCTAGCAGCAGCACAACTCAGATCCAACTCAACTGCTGTTACCGTCACGTTTCTAACCTTGCCCTTGGCTACGCTGGTGATGTACAGTGGTTACCAGTGGTTAAGGAAACACCAGCTGAGCGAGGAGCACTGTGAGTCACCTGCTGGTGTCCCACTGCTCCTCTCCCCAGAACCTCACATCGTCATACAGAGGGGTTCAGACCCAGCCACGGACTGCTGCAGTTGGCTCAGTCCCACCTGCAGGGTGCTGGGCAGAGCTGGGCCATCCCTCCTGCACAGCACCTCCTCCTTCCCTCCCAATGGGAAGATGGGGACGCAGAGGCCGGTCTGCTGCACAGATGTCCTTTTGGGTAATGCCTGTCCAGGTCATATTTAATCTCTGAGGGTTTGGAGGATTTATTCTCCAAGGGAAACCTCTCTGCAGGGGCTGCGTGGCCCTGCTGGGTCTCTGCCATTCTCTATCAGCAGGACAGGGCATGGTCTGACCTGCGGGTAGCGATCCCTATGAGCTAATGGGTCCCATCCCTGCAACCAGGGACATCCCACCTGGAGCAGCCACACACACAGCACTTCCCTACCTAAAAATACCTAATACATCTCAGCAAAGCGTTCTCTGTCTACTGCCATTTACACTAACCATTGAATTAACGTTGGGTGACTAAAAATAGCCCGAGCCCATGCAGTCCTTCCTCCAAACTTCCTGCTTTGAAACACATTTTCCATAATTGCTGTGCTCTGCCTCGAGCTCTGCTTGAGGAAATCGGGCGCCTGTGAGGAGGTGTTGCTGCACACACACACAGGCTGTGGAGCTGCTGCAACCAGATTGTTTCGCCCACTTTTGGAGCAAAGTGAGGGAAAACAATTACTGTAAATGACTTTATAGTATTCAGTTGATTAAATCAGTCTTTAATCCCCTGCAAGAAGGAGATCAGTGCAGATTTAACTAGGTACTCATAAAGATAATCAATTTATTATTCTGTCAATGCCATATGGTGAAAGAGGGAGGTTTTTACCAGGCTGTGGAGGGAGGTGAGATCTATGTGTTACTCTTCAGAAACGTTTCTGTTACAAATCCTTTGTTATTACTCAGAAACAGAGCAGAACTGTGCTGTGTGCTCTGTGTGCTCTCTAGGGCTCTGATGTTTTGAGACAGTGCAAAACAGACAGAACGTAGTTAACCTACTTCAAGCATCACCCTCTGCATCAGCTCTCCAGAGGCGTTTTATAGCATCACAGGGATCTTTCTGAGATGTTCCTCTGTCCTGATGTACCAGTTGGTTGAGGTAGGGGCTCTGCTGAGCTCAGCCAGCTTTGCTGGCTGTAGTAATTCAGGAGCACAGTGCTGATGGAGCTCCTGCAGTGCTGGCAGAGCCCGGTCTGTGCTGCCAGGAGCTGCAAGCCTCAAGTCCTGCACTGCTGCACTTCTGGCAGCTTCAGCTTCAGTGTCATAGAGAGGCAGGTAAGCACACAAGGTGAAATCTGGTGCCCAACACTGCTGCACAGCTGGGAGCCTGCATCAGGGGGAAAACTTGTGTAGGGCAGATCCATCTCTAGGAGACTGAAACCTTCCTATCAATCTTCCAGCCCTCTAAAAATAGGTGGGTCCCTCTTTCAGTATATCTTGTTGTTGTGTCAAAATCTGCCTACTTGGCAATTCTCTGGGTGAGGAGGAAGGAGCAGTCTGGCTCCAGGCTCAATTGGTGCCATTCATTTTAGCTGTGCGTGCGCGTGGTGCATTTAGCAGAGAATAATACATCCAAATTTGTTTACCTTCTAGCAAGGAATCCGTGAGATGGAAAGGCTGGGCTGGATATTGGCTTTTCATGCAATAGGCTCATGTCCACTTTGGAGCCTTTATTCACTGGAAAACCTTTTAAAAAGACAAATGAAAGCATTTAATAAACATGCTCTTTGTCGAAATGAAATGTCTACGCTTTGGCATCAATTCTCTGCCCGTTTATGTGGGAGCACTTCCATATAGCTTTTCTTATCCGCCGATTTCTAAGCACATGAGTTAGGCTTCCAGTTCTTAGTGCTGGGAAAGCCAGGCACCAGGAGACGAAGTGATGTGCCCAAAATCAGTGGCAAAACCAGATAATATAACAAGATGGCCATACAGGAGAAGCTATGAAGACCCACCTCCCAGGGGCTGTCCCACGACACAACACTATGATGAAGATTCACAGCTAGGAAAGCCCTGGGCTATGGTACCAAGAGTCTCCCTGTCTCATCTTACTGACATTATTTACCTTCCAACGTGCCGCTCAAGCTCTCCCCAGCACTGGGATGTCTCTGCCTTATCCTGTGGGTGATCCACGGCCACTCTTTGCTCACAGCACTCCCACCAGACAAAGAAGCTGTTTTCTTCTCTCTGTCCAGGTCTGCTGTTCCCTCAGTGCCATCCACAAGGCTAATCCTGCCTGGTCCGTGACATCCCCTGTCTGATGGCACATGTAACTCATCAAGGCCTGGGGCTCCCAGCAGCATCTGTGCAGTCATTGTCCCATCCTGCTCATCTTTGGGTGCCTCTGGCTCAGGGACGGAAGATTCATTGGAGAGGTCCCAGTTTATCCCTGCTGATATTTTACCAGCAGAATCTTTACCACTGCTTGCTGCACTCAGCCTCTTAGTCGCCATCTCAATCTTTTCTGCAAGCTCCTTGGATAGGTTGTGTATGGCTTTCACTCGGTCCCATTGATTTTCCCATTTATTTCTATATGGAGAAAGGCCAGAAGTTGAGTAGCCTGGTTTTGTATCTTTCTGAGGAGGAGAAAAGCTCAAAGGAGGAGTATCTGGAGCTGGGAGGGAGCAGTCCCTCAAGTCCTGACATTTCAGAGGACTGGGAAGCCAGGATTCAGATGTCAGTAGTGTTGCAGAAGGTAATGCCTCTGTGTTTGTAAGTGATTGAACAGTTTCTAGAAGCTGATTCCTGTTTAAATAGAAAAATGTCAGAAAAAATAAATCAAAATCCCCCCCAAATCCGAATAGAAACATCAGCTTTTTGCACTAAGCAGTATCCCCAGTTCAAAAAAGAAAAAGAGACAAATTTGTCTATAGATACATTTGTCAAATGACAGATTGAGAGCAGAGCACAAAGTGCTGACGAATAGGGGACGAGTTGGAGTCCTGCCTGGGGCTGACAAGGAATAGCAATGTAAGAGCATAAGAGCAGACTGCAATGTTATCCTGAGTCTGCAGAGCCCTGGTGCCCAGAAGCACTCCAGGATGGCAGAAGTGGGCTGTGCATTGCTCAAACACTGCTGATAAAGCTGAGCACACAGAGCTCTGTGACCACTTTGGATTTGGAGCAGTGAGGGAGAGGTGAGATACGACAGGGGACTCGTCCATTGCTCTGATTTTATAGTTTGCAGCACAACACTATGGAAAGTACACAGAGCTTGGTGGGAAGGCTTTCTGGAGTGCAGTCAGTGCTGAGTACCTGTCCCTGGGATCTCGATGCACTGCAGTAGGGGATGCTGTTTCCACCCAGGCCCTGAAACTGTGCTTCAGGGTTTCACCACTGGTTTGTTCCTGAAACGAGAGTGACCATTCCTGTAAGCACTACATAGCTAGGAAACACAAGAGCAGTTGTTGGCTTTTGTTCCACTTAATAATAGGTTCATTTAACCAGAAAAGCACACAAGTCAAACAACAAACCTGCTCTTCTTACTGCAGCAATAGAGATTTCCAGGCTTTTGACCCCAAAGTCACGGGTTCCAACCTTGCTAATGAGCACAACAGCTCTTGCCAGAATTAAAAGTTAATTGCTCTGTTTTTCCAGATAAAATTTTACCTCCCTAACACTTCAAATCACGTGCATGAAGTGCTTCACCTCCTGCAAGGTGCTGCAGTGATCAGGACTGAAGGGCTTTCAATCCAGCTCTCCTCCATGACTTACTTGCTCAAGTGCACGCTGAGGACTTCCTTTGGCAGCAGCTGCTCCCCTGATGAGCTCGCACGTCTGCTCGGAGCACTTTCTCTTTCCAAGAGCTTCTTTCTGTTTCCTGTATACTTCTTGCAGCCTCTTATTCCTCATTTCCACCGCCTGCTTTACAGACTTTTTCTCTTCCAGCTTTTTTTTCTTTCTCTCTTCATTCTTCCGACACATGAACTCCTGAACGACATCACGGCTGTAGGGGTGAGGTTTTCTAAGGTTTACCCTCCTCTTTGGAGGCTGTTTCACGTTTTCTTTCTCAGACCCTTTCTGCACAGGGGTCCACCTCTGAGGAGATGTGCTTTTCCCGCAGCTTCCAGAGCTGTTGGTCTTGGCTCCAGCTGTTACTGATGCAGCCCTTCTCTTTCCTGCACTAAAGGCAGAGGGAGTCATGTCCTGAGGTCCAGGTGAAGACAGATGGTGCTGCTGCAGAACCTTTCCCTTCATGGTATCTCCCAGGAGCCTGCTCTGCCTATGGACATCGTGGCACTGGCTCTGTAAATGAAGGTTCTTGAATGTTTGCTTTGCACCTTTGGTTGGTGCACTGCTGGTCCTTCCAGCAGGGCCGTGGTGGGGAGCTGCACAGCTTTGGATTTCAGGGCTTTTCCCCACTGGTTCTATTCTATTTTCTCTGGAGCTGTTCTCCATTGCTGACACTGCAGTGTTGGGCCCTGTGGAAGATTTGGAAAGAGCAGTGGTGTTATTCCTTTGGTGGTGAGACAACTCCTGTATCAGTGTGCATCTCACAGCACATCTCCTACCACGGGGCTGAGGACTGCTGTACAATCCTCAGTGCTGCAGAGAGAAGACAAATCTCTGCTAATTTTGGCAGTGTCCAACTGTACAAATGATGTAGCTAGTGGCCCTTGGAGTGTGTATAGAATGTAACATACAAGGGCAATGAAACTCTCTCTTAAACCTCTTACACTTGCTTAGAAAGACCTTGAAACCATTCATTCCACAAACGGCCAACCACATTTTTGTTTGTGTGCCAGAAACAAGCAGTGTAGCAGAGAGGACCACTGTACCATAGGCATTTCCAGTGCTCTGCTCTTCAGCTCTGCTTCTCAGCTTCGGAAATGCAAGCGGTGGACCAAGCAGCTTCCTGGCTAACTTCTGTCCTTCCCTCCATGCAGAAACACCAGGGAGCTTTGAACCTGAAACAGACATGAGCGTTAGGGAGCATCCTTCTGTGCTGGTGGCTGCAGGTGGCTTGCTGGGATTCTGGTGGACCTGAGAGCTGGAATTCTCTGTAATTACATCAAAATCACTGGAGCAAACAGATTTGTTTTTAAACTGGTGAGAATCAGCAGGATGCAGCGTGGAGAATCAATGAATGATACGGGACAAGGGACCATGTATATATAATGCAAAAATAAATGATGCAGCAAGCAGCACAAACAAATTATTCTTGCCTAATAGGTGGTGTCACATAATAGGCAACATTTATCACCGTTTTACTTCATAATTTCAGATTGCATTCACAGCATGCCAACACTCGCACTGCCATAATTATGTATTTATTGCAAATGCTCCTCAAGCAGAAAGTGACTAAATGGAAAGTTATTTGATATCTGCATGGAAGCTCCCTCCCCCTGCAAATTCTACCCTGCAAAAATATTCAAGCTTCTTTGCAAAGGAAAGATTTTACACTGAAACAGTTACCAGCCTCAGTTCAAAGCTGCGGATCAGTGCTCAGCAGGAGCCATAAAATCAATTGACTGAGTCTGCTTTCCTGGACGCACACATCCATGTCTCTAGCTGTCAGAGCAGAGCACCTCTGAGAGCCATTTCTCAGACAGGAGGCACTCTTGGAGGCTGACTGCTTATCAGGGCCGTCCTTCCCTGCAGCTGCCAGCTGGGCACATGGCTGCAGTGACAGCGCTGGGCTCTGTGCTGTGGGCACAGCAGGTTCCCACTGGGGCTCACCTCAGTTCTGCAGCCTGGGAGTGCAGCCCGAGGCACAAGGATGATGTTTGCCATCCCTTCTGCAGGGCTGGAGGCATTTCCTACAAATGAATGGAGCCTCCTAGGGGGATTACCCAGCAGATCTGTGAAGTTCTGAAGGCACAAAGCATGGGGGGAACTGACGGAATCTGATGGGCTCGGAGTTTTTAAAGAGCTTGCATTTTTAAAGAAACACCTCACTGTATTACTTTACTTTCTTGTTCAGCAGTGTTAAAATGCAGGAGAGGCATTTATTTGTTACATCATCATGGTTCATAGAATCATAGAATCCTCAGAGTTGGAAGGGATCTTTAAAAATCCCACTCCCCTGTAATGAACAGGGACATAGAATCACAGAATGGCCTGGATTGAAAAGGACTGCAATGATCATCTCATTTCAACCCCCTGCTGTGTGCAGGTCGCCAACCAGCAGCCCAGGCTGCCCAGAGCCACATCCAGCCTGGCCTTGAATGCCTGCAGGGATGGGGCATCCACAGCCTCCTTGGGCAACCTGTTCCAGTGCCTCACCACCCTCTGAGTGAAAAACTTCCTCCTCATATCCAACCTAAACCTCCCCTGTCTCACTTTAAAACCATTCCCCTTGTCCTGTCACCATCCACCCTCACAGACAGCCGCACATGCACAGTTCAATCAAGTTGCCCACTTCCTCCAAATGCAACAGACAGATGCATCTGTAGCTCTAACAACACACGTTGCAATTAACAACCTGCACTGCCCCACAGCCTGCTTCCTCAGAGATCTTCCTTATCTATGCAGCATTTCACAAAAACTCACACCAAAGTTTGAGAACAGTCTGACTTGCTGATGAAATCACTTACAGAAGGAAACCTTTTGATTTAAATATTCCCCAGTGCTGGCTTTTTTTTTTTTTTTCCCTACCTATGAACAGATGAATATTTTATAGCTGCTGTGACTTAATTTTTTGTTAACTACAGCAAATTTATAATTCATCAAATTCCAGAGTACTTTGGCTCTGACCTCCGACCCCTCATTCATCTCCCGTCGCTCTGCCTCAGCTCTTCCACTGACAGAAACTAATAGCCAATAAAGGCACCGTGACACTGGCAGTTACAATGATGAATGTTTCATGTGGCACGGCCTTATTATGACCCACTCTCAGAGGAAGACCGAGCCATTTTTCAAACAATCCATTAAAACAAAAAAAAAAGAAAAAAGGAGGGAGGAGGAAATTATTATATATTTCATGCATTTTAAGTAGGGCTGTGGTAGCAGAGTGCATGATGCAGCCGTACTCGTCATTTCATCTGCATGGCATGGGATAACTTGGATTTTTTGGCCTCCTGTTTGCCACCAGTTATACATCTGTCCACTTTGAGCAGCACCCGCGGCGCTTCCACTGTTTGCCCACCCAGTTGGAATGCAGCCATTCCTGCTGCAGAATGATGGCACTAAGGAGGGAGCATCGCTCCGATAGTTCAGATCTGCGTTGGGAACACCCTTCAAAGCAATCCACGAAGGAGCACGTGGGAACCTCACTCCTGCTGCTGTTGTAGGAGGGCTGCATTCCCTGTGTTCTCCCGGCCCCTGCGCTGCAGAACGTGCCTTTTAGAGACACTCTGAGTTCAGCTGGGAGCTCAGTGGCTGACAGACTGTTCTTCCCACCGAGGACATGAGGCTTATTTTCTATTTCTGGTTATTTTTAATCCTGGCAGGCCTGGAATTCAGCTGCCAAAGGCAATGGTGTGACAGACGCTTGAAGGTCACTAAGGCTGTTCTTAGATGATACCTGTGGGCATCGGTGAGACCAACAGAGAGCCTGGGGGGGGCATGTGGCAGTGACTGCCAAACCTTACCCAAAAGCCAATGACAGAATGGGGCAGCAGGCAGCCCTGTGTGACCCCCCAGGGCCTCAGCATGCTTCACCTGCATCCGACCCACAAACAAAGCCCTGCATCCCTGTGCTGCCTCTGATCACCTTCTGCCTCCTTGGACAAATGCTCACTTCTGTCTGTTCCCTCTTCTTTCTTTCTTGCTTTATTTAACCAGGCTCTGTTCCTTGGCTGCGGCTCCCAGGATTTGGCATCCTTTTAATAACCAGATCCAGATTTTGGCAGGTGTGCTTGCAGGTGTTGTTATCTCTGCTCCATCAATCTGTGTCATCTCCCATGAATTTCATTCTTACCTTCACCTATTGCTGCTCTCCCCGGAGAAGAGGACCTGGGCAAAGGCAAGGGCTGTTTCTGGCTCTGTGTTTGAGTCCCCCGCGCTGAGCCACTCTTTCTTTGGTCTACAACCAAGAGGTAAAAATGGAGACAAGAATTCATGTGAAGCTTAAATTAGAAGTCAGTAAAAGGTTGGATATGTTTAACACTCCCCTGGTAGTTCTCTGACGGTTACATTCAGGGATTTGGTTGAAAACAAAACAAATCTGCCTTCCTGCTGAGCACCCGCCAGAGGCTGAGCAGGGCTCAAAGCACTGCCTGTGTCAGCTGGGAGGCAGCACAGCACGAGGCTGTGCTCGCAGAGGTGAGCTCTGCTGAATGCTCCCATCCATCACCAGAAAAAGTGTGATGGAACAGATCTGAGGGAAACACCCCTGGAAGCTGGTGGTGTGTGACAGGGATGGCAGCGCCCAATGAATTAACACTAATGCTATTACAGCAATAAGATTTATTATGGATAGCTTCTCAGCTCCTCTTCCCTAGTCCGGCAGAGCCTCTGTAATCCCACTGCCTGAAGCTTGCTGAGTGGGTGTTACCTGCTTTGGCAGGGGGGTTGGTCTCAATGATCTCCAGAGGTCCCTTCCAACCCCTACAATTCTGTGATTCTGTGTGCAATGGGATGGACTCCTCACAGGACCATGCTGGATCCCATCTCTCCACACAGCACCCTGAGAGCTACACTCACACTAACCCAATGAGACAGCTGCAGGTGAGTGGTACATCAGGCCCAAACTTAGCAGCAAAGCAGGATTAAACTTTTATTTATATCTGCTTTTAGATCCATGCTAGTTCCACTGAATGAATTACTAAATCCTCAATAATGCCTCTGAGCTACACGATTCCTGCCTTAAGTACCTGTGATGCCTCTCCGCACTGCTGTGCTATTATTTCCCATGTGCTTATGCCACTCATGTTGTGCTTTCTGCCTGGCAAAAAGGCGTGGGAGATGGGAAGCTCCATGCAACCAGTTGGGATGGGAGCACAGCCTTCCACGGTCTGAGAATCATCAAAGGTTGGAAAAGAGCTCTAAGCCCTTTAAGTCCCACCGCCAACCCATCTCCACCGTGCTCACTCAGCTTCTCCTGCAGAGCTTTGCTGCAAAGGCTGTGCTGCCCGGTGCCTTGTGCCACTGACCTCTGGGACACGGAGCAGAAGAGGCAGGCACGCTGCACACCTTTCTCTTCAGGGGTCTGTCCTGAAGCAGCTCTCGAGCATAGGATGCAATCAGGCACTTCTGCTCCTGCGAAGCTGCTCGCTGGTTTCTCTTCTGCTCCTGGATTTTCTTCTTGAGCTGCTCTAACTTCTTCCAGGATGATTTTCTCTGCAGCTCCTCCAGC